TCCAGCGACAAAGCCATTACGCTAACTGCTGGTTCCCAATAAAATAATTCTTAAAAGAAAATAATTCTTTATACAGATTTTAAGAGAGATTTTTGCTATAGGGTGCATGGGCTCACTGGAGAGAGAGACAGAGAGACAGAAAGCAAGAAGTCACAGGACCAGCAGTTAGCGTAATGGCTATGTCACTGAACTCCCATGTAGCCGACTGTGGTTCGAGTCCCGGACACAGTGGCTTAAACTCACTCCGGGCGCATGTGCGTGTGTGCCCAAGATCCCGAGAAGAGAATGGAGGAGAAGGGATTGCAGCATGGCCATCCCCCCAGAGGGTGATTTCTCACTTTCTATCTCTTTGTCTCTCTCTGTCTTTCTGACGAGTGCACGTGCCCTACAGCAAAAAGCTCTCAAAAAAAAGAAAAAAAGAAAAGAAAGCAAGAAGTCATCAGCAAGGTGTAGTCACACTGCTATCCCTTCTCCTCTAGTCTTCTCTTCAGCATCTTGAGCATGCACGCACACGTGCCCAGTGTCAGGTCAAGCTACCAGGTCTGGAACTCGAACTGTGAATACTCCTGTAAATACTAGCAGATTCTTTTAAGGATCCGTGACAGCAATAGAAAAACAGGGTAACTTTCATTCCAGAAATTTGGAGTTTTTTTTTTTTTTTTTTGCGTTAGGACATGTGCACTTGCTGGGGAGAAGAGAGAGATGGAGAGAAAGAGGGAAAGTGAGAAAGCACACTGCAGAGGGGATAGCCACACCACAACCCGCTCTTCTCTATCCCCTTCTCAGGATCCTGGGCACATCCACATGTGCCAGGATAGCAGGTCTGAGACCCATACTCCCATACTGTCCAGCTGGTCATGTGGGATCAGCCTCCTTAACTACCATGTACGGTGGCTGTCCCAGGAATGCTTACCATTAAGGAAGTACAACTTTTGTTCCCAGAATTATTTTTTTAAATAATTATTTTATTGAGACCAGCAGTTGGTATAATGGCTATGTTGCTGGACTTTCATGTAGTCAACCACAGTTTGAATCCTGAACCCGGTGGCTTAAACTCATGCCAGGCGCGTGTGTGTGTGTGTGTGTG